AAGCCTCAAGGCCACAAAGAAGAGGTGTTGGCGAATAAACTATATTGTTCTTGTCGTGCCAACCGAATCCGCTTTGGTAAGCATTGAAGTAATCTATATATCCGTAGTACTGGAAAGATGGCGTCTTGCTCCATCAAATACCGACATCAGAGAAAAGGCATCGGCTGTCAGTTCGCAAATTTCTCGATCTCCCCAGCACTGAGTTGGCAAATTTTGCAGTAAGATCATTATACCCTAAATTGAAGTATTGCACTTACAAAAGAAGGCGGTTGACTTCACCCTAACCAATAACAAATCGTTGATGAAAATAATTGAAGAGTAAATAATGAGTTCCGATTTCTCAGAATAAGGACTTAAGCTTACCTACACAGACATATGAAAACAAGAACCTATTAGTGATAATGAGAACAAGTATCTAAAACTTTACTTGAAAATCTCTTTCTGCCTGCAGTTGTCTTGACCACGTGCGAAGGAATGCAGCACAGACGTAGCTATGGAATTGTGAAAAGCCATTAGGCTCACTCTGAAAGTCTAATATAATGTATAGAACAGACTTAGACTATTTGAATTTAATAATCAATCGACATTGACACCAAGAAAATTTCTAGAAGAGAATGTGTCTCTTAGTTGTCAAACCTTACCAAGTAAGTATCCCAAAGACGGATTGTCGCACGCAAAGGAATTTCCCTCATGAGAAGATTGTTCATCCATCGAAAAGAAAATTGCAGGTATTCGATACCGTTAGACTCTAGATGCATATGTAGAGGCCCTGAAATAAAATCACTCGTAAAATGTCGAATACCAATGACATTTCAGATTTCCTTTGCATGAGCAGACTAGATACGTCAAAAAATGAAGTAGTCAACAAGTGATTAGAAACTCACGATCGACTCTGCTCATCAGATGTCTTAACTGCAACACTTTCCTCTGGATTCCCGGCTGAGCAAACGTGTAGTTGTCGTGGATAGAATCAAGTAAAGCAGATACACACCAGAACGAATCTGCTTCTACTAATTCACACTGCTCCCGAGAGAGTTGTGAAACATCAAATGATCCGACCTTAACACTGAATACTAACAAACATATTCAAATTTCCCTGAGCTCACCTCCACATCTTGTGGCACAAACTCTGACACAAAGACTACGAAGAAGGGGGTTACAAGGTCGTTT